AAATTCTAGGTATACAGTCCTGAATATCTTCCTGTCCTTTGAGGGGAAAAAAGTGGAGGGGCACTTAAAGAAATGAGTAAGATTCCATGATAGTTCTTTGATTAGCTATGACTTAAAAGTATACATTTGAAAGAAAACAAAGGACAGACGCAGACATAAAACCTGGAATAGAGCCTGAAGACCACAGGCCACCATGGGGATGCTGCACCTGGAGCCCAGCATGCCAGCCGGGGTGAGTCCCAACCCCCTTGCCAAACATCACCACATGCTCCTTCCCTGGCGGTCTGGGCCCCTCTGCATCTGTGTATCTTACTTAGGAAGTTTCCAAAAAATCAAGAATTTAAGTCAAAGTAAATCAACAGATAAATGGACGCCCTCTGATGGTGTTCAATGCCCGTAACAAACACTTGGCCTTGAGGAAATGAGTGCATTCCTGTAGGAAAAGAAAGCAGGGCTGGAACGAAATCAAAGCTGTGTTCAGGGACAGCGAGTGGCAAGGGGTACCCCCCTTTCATCAGGTAGATGAGCCGTGACCCAGAGAGGCAGCTGGAAGGATGGGGAACCAAATACGTTTATGTTTATGTTTACGTGTAAATTCATTTCAAGCCACCTCGCTATCTGAAGTCTCTCTCCTCCTTTCCTCCCCACTCCCTGCATGACGCTCCCACCGCTGCAGGAAGGGACAGTGGAAAGAAGTTAAGAATTCATCTTCAGTGCCCCTGAAACCTATATAATTTTATTAACCAATGTCACCCCAATAAATTCAATTCCTGATAATGTTAACCCACTAGACTGCAAGTCCCAAGAGGGCCAGCGCTAGGTCTTGTTCTCCACCCCACTTCCCAGTACCTGGGATGGAAAAATCGCTCCATAAATATTTCTTTAATGAGCGAATTGAAAAAGCCTCATTAATTCTCTATAATGGCATGCGTCCAGGCCAAAGCCAATTACTCTCATCCTCAGAGCTATGCTTCGTGTCCACGCATCTCTCAGCCCTGCTGGTATTTCTATTATTTCCTGCCCACTGTCTGCAGGATTTCCTCTCTGCTGAGATGCCCGACTCGCTTCCTCATGGAAGTTTAATGAAGTTGTCAGCAGGGTCCTTTCTCATCAGACAGCCTGGCTTACATTTCACTTAAGGTCTTATTAGCATGCCTAATTTCATTTCCAGAAAACACTCTTAATTAAACTACCAAATCTGTGAGCATTCAGGTGGGATCGGTTTGCCTGGCAATCCAAGCGGCTTCCTGGACCCTGGGGACGTGTAACATGGAGCATAAGCCACCTCCCTCCGCCTCCCTTTCCTCACCTATAAGTGGGGATCACCGACCCTCCCTGTGGGCTGGTCGAGCGGGTCAGTGACGTGGATACAAGACGGGTTGCGCTGAGTAGGTACTGCAGCTACCTGTGTTAATATAACTGTTGTTATTCCATTTCTGGCCTTCCAGACATTCTTTCCCTCCTTCCCCGAAGTGCTCAGTGAGACTGAAGTCTTGACTCTGAAGCTCCTTATGGGATAATTCACGGAAACCAGTCAGTTCAGTTCTCAGCAAACAACAGCCATTATTATTATTATTACTTCCTCAATTCCTCAACTCACATTCCCAGGATCCCAATGTAGATTATCTCCATTTATACTAAGACATAAATTATTAACAGACTTAACCCTAAGAACAGGTTATTCGCTAACAGAATAGTTTCTAATTGATGGGGACATGGGAAGATACGTTTGAGTTTGGACAGGAGGGTCATCTCCCTGCCTCTTGGGTCCTCTCCATAACCACAGGCCTCACAGCATAAGACCTGCCCCGACGTCAGAGAGGAGCCCAACCACGCCTGCTCCAAGTCCTCAGGCACCAAAGTGTCCTACTCAAATTCTTAACAGCGTGAAACAGCACGGGGTTATTAAGCAATTATTTCCCTGATGTAATCCTCTCTTCTACTTTTTTTTTTTTTTTGGGCAATTGTTCCCTCTCCTCTTAATTTGGCAATTTAACATCTGTAATTAAAGATACTTCTGTATCCCAAAAGCACGGTAAGTGTAACTTACAGACCTACCCTGGGGAAAGCAGGGTACTGCCCAGCTCACTGGGCTGGTGCCCTGTGCCTTGTGGGAACAGGATGAGGGGGGCTGGCTGATCTGGCTGAGCAGCAACAGTGGCTGATGGACGGCACTCTCCTTCCCCTGGAAGGTCCCTTAACATGTGCAATAAACTAACTGGACGTCATTGCTTTCCTGACTCCTCCTACCCCCAACACACACACACTGGGTGTCCCCTTCAAGATGCTCTATTTGGCCACCACAACACGTCCAGCACCTACCACCATTCTGTCCACCTAGAGTGCATTTAACACATACCTGTTGAATCAATGAGCAAGTTTAAAGTTCCCCGTGGAAGGGGATCCTTTATGTCTACTTTCCCTGGGAATAAGTTCCATGGCTGGGTTAGGATTCCGGGGGCCAGTAGTTCCGAACCATTGAGAAAAGGGGAGCAGACGGTTTATTACTGATGAAACAGGATGGCAGCCCGTGGCCTAGGTGGGTGACTGCAACAGACATCCTAACACCCCCAGAGTGAGGGGACTTAACCTCCCATCCCCAACTGAGCCAGGCCACGTGGTTTAGGGCAGCAGGCGGATCAGAATAAGCCTGTTCCAAGTTCAGGCGGCTCCAAAGAGAACAGCAAGTGGAGGGGGACTGGCTGAGCTCGGGAACCGGGGACCCTTCCCAAGCTGGCTGGGCAGGGTCCCGGAAGTGTTAGGGTTGTGTGTGCGTGTGCGCGTGTTTCTGTCTCTGATGGCACTGGGAAGGCCACCAGCCTGGATCACAGCATGAAAACCTCACCCTCTCTGTCTCTTGATGGGGTGGCCCAGGCCAGGTGTGGAGGGCCCTCTCCTGGTCACCGGTCACACTGAGTTGGGCTGGCCCTTTTGCAGGCTCAGCATCCTGACCTCTGGGCTCACCAGGCCCTGGCAGGCTGTGGATCTGATGGAGGCGGGTCTTTCCAGTATGGAACGGTGCCCCTGGGCTTGTTCTTAACCCATCACTCAGCTCATTGCTCCCATGCGTGGGGGCGTTTCACTTGCTTTGTTTTATTTTTACACTTCTTTTACCACCCTTGTACTTCAAGCTTGAATTATGAGTGTCTCAAAATAGTTTAAGCAAATGAAAAATATTCATTATACTATAAACACAAATATCTCGAAATACCTTCCACAGTCACAGCGCTCACGTCTGAACATCTACACTACAACTCTGTCTATGGCCAGGAATACCTGTTTTTCAGTCACCTCTAATTTGACTTGTAAAATGTGGAATTTTTCTATTTTTGAAAAGTCCCAAAAAATAAAAACAAGCCTCTCTCTTCAGTGCTCCACACAAAGGGCCTTCTCTCCTGCGCTGGTGACAGGCTGAGCCTGCCCCACTTCTCCGACCAAAGCAGCGATGGTTCTGCGGGAAACCGCGAGTGGCCGCGGCAGCCGTGGGAACCTTCCGGATGGACACAAAGTAACAAACAAAGTAACAGAGTAACAAAGTAACAAAGTAACGGGCGCTCCGCCGCCTAGGGGCCCGGAGCGGCAGAGCCGGGGGAAGCCTGCCACCTGGTGGCGGCTGGAGGCCACGCCAGCTAGTCCTTCCGCACAGGGGGCGCAGTTCCACGCCCCGCGGGGACGCAGAAACCAGACGGAACTAAACGCGGACAGACGCTGCGCCTTTCCTGCACCCGCACGCCTGTGGCAGGGGTCACTGTAGGAGTCAAACACAGTACGAGGTGGACGATACCCACCGACAGAACCACCGCAACGACGCGCGGGGGCGGCTCTGAGATTACGGTCTCTCTCGAAATACCTTGCTGCACGGTACTCACCTTTCTGACAAAAGGCCTCAGAGGTCCGGAAGGCCCACCCTTTCGCTTAAAGGAAGCGCTCTGCGGCTTCCCACTGGCATATCCACGGTGCCGCCAGAACTGCGCCTGCACGAGTACGAGAGGCTGGAATGCGAGCACCGGTACCGGCTGGTCTTATCATCAAAACACCCAACTCACGCAGGAGCACGAAGATCACGCGGGAGCATGGAGTTCACGCGGGAGCACGAGGCTCACGCGGGAGCACAGGGCTCACGCAAGAGCAGGAGCCAACGCGGGAGCATGGAGATCACGCGGGAGCACGAAGCTCACGCGGGATCATGAAGCTCACGCGGGAGCACAAGAGTTCACGCGGGAGCACGAAGCTCACGCAGGAGCAGGAGCCAACGTGGGAGCACGTGGCTAACGCGGGATCCGGTAACTAACACGGGAGCACGTAGCTAACGTGGACACACCGACCACGGGACGATTCGCGACCCTCGGAGGAAGCGCGGAGTTTCATCACACTCCTGTGAACCAAGTGGATCTAAAAGTTGTGGTTTATTTCTGGAATTTTCCACCGAATGTCTCCCTACCCCAGCCGATCGCGGATGACTGACGTGGCGGAACGTGGAACGGCGGGTAGGGGACGGGACCGTCGTGGTGACTTGGCGCCCGGGCCTCACGGGCCTGAGCTGCTTCCGCATAAGCCGCCCTGGGCCGCGGCCAGGAGGGAGCCCTGCGAGCAGTGTCCAAACGCGGGCACGTCGTGTTCCCTCCCGCGAGGGAACACGCAGGCCGCGTGACGTGTGTTTCAGCGGAGCCTGTCTTGTTTCTATGGTGACGGCCACGGCTTCTCCTCCACGACGGTGGGGGAAGCGGTGCACGAACACTGACGCCCCGTTACGGTGACTCGTGGGGCGCTTTTACCTTTTCCGCGCAGAGGATAGTCCCACCTGCTCGGTCCCTGCCATAACCTCAGCCGATGGCTGCCATTCAAAGTGATTGCCGCGCCCCGGTCAAGTTCAGGGAGTGGAACCTCTCCGTGCACCCAGGCGACACCCAGGCGATGGCGCCACAGCGGCCCCGGGCCACACAGCCATTGTGGTTTTGCTTTTAGATACACTGTTGTTTTTTAAATAAGGAAACAAGTCATTTTTAAAACTACTTTTTTTTTTTTAATACAAATGGAAAGTAAATATTCGCTAATGCCAGAAATAATGTATCTTCAACTCCGGACCCTTTACAAGAGATACAAGATCATTGTTTCAAAAGATACAAGATGCACAGATGAATCACATTCCCTCTTTGCAAATGTGAAAATAGCACACGATTTAAATTCACAATGAACAATGATGATTTTTCAGTAGCTTGAAATTTCAGTTGTTCATTCCATAATTTTTATGAGAAAAAAAAAAGTTAATCATGTACCTTAATATTGTCGTTTTTGTATTACTCCAAAGTACAAACCACCCTAAAGATAGAGTCCCACATTTATCATATGTATTATAAAAAATACTGAGACACTTACCAGGCAAAACTCATAGAATGAAAACTATATTTTGGGATATGTTTCACAAAGACAAGTCCAACATTTCTCTTTGGTTCATAAAATAGAAGAGGTAGATTCAAATAAAGTAAATACCTATTCTGTCACTAGATTTTCACTAAAAAGTTGGCAATTTATAACAAATTACTAGAAATCAAACAAGTTCAGGAACTAAATTTACAAAGCGGTAAGAATAACTTCAACTAATAAATATTTTTCTAAGTCCTAATCACATAAATCAGAAAAGATAGTTGACTACAAAAAAAAATGGCTCTAGTAAAATAAAAACATGCTATCAATATTAAAAATTAAGTTTTCTATTTCATAACATGTTCTATAACTTGGAACAAGAGAGAATATAAATGTGTGCGTTTATAAATTGGGCCTTTCATTTAAATATAAGTACCTAATATATGAGAATAATATTTGTTACTATTAACATGTACTATTCTCCCAGGTTTGTGTTGCCCAAGTTGAGAATTTCAGGTTCAAAGAAATTCAACAATGAGGGGGGAAAGAGAATGTCATTCGCCCATGATCAACCCACTTCATGTAACTAAAAAATTTCAGATTACGAAGAATGGTCCCCAGAAGCCATCCTTATTAAAACGAAATCTGACCCAAGTAGGAAACAAAGGACAAACAAAAGACAGATGCTCTTGAAACACAAAAAAGGTTTTGTCTCCTGGTGTTTTTCAAAGCAAAGACACATTAAACAGAATCCTTCGAATAAGCTGCCTTGTGTTGATAGCATAACAGTAATATAACGACAATCAGTGTGTCATCCCTTAAGTATAAGGAAACTGGCATAAACTTGAACCATCCAAAATAAAGACGGATGATTTATGATCTACCACACAAAACAAACCTAGTTCAGGCAGGTACATGTTTCAGATTTAGGGTTCGGGGCAGAGATCTGCAGGAAGGACTTAGAAGAAGAGATAAAATACAACGTTCTGGCCTTTTCAAAACTGTATGAGCTTATCAAAACTATGATTTTTTTTAAAAACATTTCCGTATGTACAAAATTGAGCGCAAATGTCTAAAGTGATCACCGATAAGCTCTTCCTTTTTGTGAAAAAATAAGGCTTCTTGCAAGTCTAGAGGGAAAAGTCCCCCTGAAGATTATTGAGAATTTCTGTAATCATGCAAAAGAAAAAAAAAAAAAATTTCAACGTGTCATTTCTGGGTCACTCCTAAAGTTTGTTTCATGTTCTCGTAAACCACGTAGCTGATGCCTACAGCAGGGAGCACCTTCATGAAATTTGGGGTGATGCCTCGGTAGAGTCCTGGTATTCCTTCTTTGGAAATGATTCGGCGAAAGAGGCCAACCATGTTCAGCTGTGGGCTTCCTTCTACCATGGCTAGAAAACATAAAAGGGAACCAGGCTAATTTAATACTCGAGCACATTTTGTTCTTATTAATACACATAATTATGATTCAGAATGGATCAGAAGGAAAGAAAATTTATTCCAAGGGGTCCAAGAAAGTACCCCTTTATATAAAGGGGGAGGGGTGGTCGGACTTGGAAGAGAGGTTGGGGATAGAGCTGTAGATGCCCAGGGGATACTATTTAAAGAAATGACAGAGGGTGAGATTGGCCAGGGAAAGAGCAAAAAAGAAAAAGAGAGGCACAGAAAGTGTACTTATATAGAGCAATAGAAGCCAGCGAACCATAAGAGAATTATCCACGAGACGGCAAGGAAGCCAGGAGGGGAGAGTAGGATCAGAGCCAAGGGAGGAGAGAGTGTCAGGTGGGGGCCATCACAGCCGAACTTGTAGCGTCCACAGTAACAAGCCGTTCCCGCCGCCACTGACCAAGAATGGGACAGAGTCCATCCTGGGCTTCCCGTAGATTGCTGCTAATTCTTGCAGCACTGCACAGTTCTCTTTCTTACAGATGAGAGAACGAAAACCCAAAGAGGTGGTGTGCAAGGACCTTACCCAAGTCCATCGAGATACTAAAGCTCATATAATGTGTTCTCCACACAGGTAAAAAAAAAAATCCAGACTTTGTTTATGCATAAGGCACAGATACACATACAGGACGCGAGCAGCGTGTCCGTGGTACTAAAATGAAGGAGTGGTTAGGAAAAGGCTTTGTATAAAGTGCCCCGAGGGAGGCAATAGAGACCCTAAGGCTGAGGTGCGGGATCCTAAAAAGCCCGCCTGCGCCTTCTTCTGCCTGGACCCACCTTGGGCCTGCATGCGCGTTCTCACCAAGGCCAGCGGGTAGCTGGCCAACTGCCCGCAGGTGCTGGACAGGGCGCCGCAGCTCAGCAACACCACGACGCCGGGGTTCACGGAGTCTTGGGCGAAATTATCCAGCCAGTGGGACTTCAGGAGCTGCCAAGGAACAGAAAGGGGGAGAGGCGGTGAGCAGCGAACTTCATGACCGTGTTCACTCGACGTGACCATTTTCCCAGCGACCCTCGTCCTCGCGGGAGACAGGCCACCTTTCCCCAGGAGTGGCGGGGACCACTGAGGATGCAGACACGCGAGGCCTGCATGGCTGCTCGGCTGCCTCTGAACAATCGCGCGGGTCCACAGCACCACCAGCTGCAGGGCCTAAACAACACTTCCCACAGCGAGTCTGAATACAAATAACGTGGCACTACCGACGGCATCCAGCTTTGTACTTGACACGTATGTCATTTCACTTAGTCCTATTACAAAGCTCGGAGGCGGAGATGCTCTTCTGATTTTAGAAATGAGGAAAATCGGTCTCAGGGATGGGTGTGTGTTTTTTAAACAAGGGTGCAGAACCAAGTGTGCTGATCCCCCAGGCCATGCTTCTATCCCAATTTCCTTAAAAAGTAAATATATACCAGAAGCCACTGAACAGTACACTGTAAATAAATTAAATGTATGATATATGACTTGTAGCTTCATAAAGCTGTTTTTTAAGAAATCCAGTCTTCTCAGAAAGGTTTCATCACACATTCCACCGCCGCCCTCAGCTGTCGGCTGGTCCTTCCTCGTGTGCCCAGAGCACCACTGGCCACACTGTGCTCCTTCGTCCCCTTGACCACCTCCCCCGCCAGACCTTGGGGCTTCTAAGGGAAGATACCCAAGCCCCTCTTTCCAATCTCCAGGCCCAGTGTCTAACCCAGGGGCTTGCACATAGTATGTGCTCACTTTGTCAGATTCATACATCATTAAACGGTTTAAATGGCAAAGTTGACTTCAAAACTGTAGTTGGAGTTGTTTTGTCAGTACCAGGGATGAATCTGCCGCCCACGCCAGTCTCCTGGCTTTATGGACGTGCAGTATGACCAAATCGGAGAAAATGTGTCCTTCTTGCCTAATTTCTCTGCCCCCCCCAACCAAAATCCCCAGTGCCACCTTCTAAGCTGAACAACTGTATCAGACTGTGAGTCCACTCTCTTCATTAATAAAAGTGATTCCCAGAGAAATCTAATACAAAACTGACCACAGGCGTACGGGGTCTCAGACTCAAGGTACTTGGGGGGGAAAATATAAAAGATCACACGACACCATGGAATCTATTTTTGGTCACAAACTGTTCCCTGGTAGATACGTACTCCTTCAGACAGAGTCAAATTCGAACAGTAAGAACTATTTAACTACACTTTCAGGTTCAAACGACTGCTACAAACTCACCTCATACACGGCGAGGTCTATGCCCGCGTAAGGTATGATGCCTAACAGATTGGGAACATAGCCTTTGTAAAAAGCTCCCATGCCCTCGTGTTTCAAGATCTTCTTGGCGCAGTCGGACAGCCCGGAGTACTGTCCAGTTTTGCCTACCGCCAGCCTGGTTTTCAAGACCTGGTCGGGAAGGAACATGACAGAATATGGTCACTCGAATTCACTGCATCGGCATGAAATTCAAAGCAAGTCATTTTACAGGAAACAGCTACCCAGCACTACTTGCGACTTGTCCAGTTCCTTGCTGTGTTCTCCTTACATGTTCCCTCTACGGAGGGACTAAGTCGAGGGCCACGAGGAGCCACTCATTGCAAAGAGAACCTGAAGGAGGGCAGTGGCACAGGGAACAGAGAAAGGATAACCTACTGGTGTCTTACCAAAATGGACTGGTGGCCAGTTGGACGTGGTGGGAAATGGTGGAGTAAGAGACGACTGCAGTGTTTCTAGCTTGGAGCACAGGATGGGGGTGGCACAGAGGGGGGAAGGTGATGCTATTGACTCAAATAAGCAACGTAAGAGGAACAGCAGGTCTTGGGTTGGGATGTTTTGAGGGGTGTGTGGAGTACTGTGAACCACCACATTAAGATGCTTGCAAGGAAAGCTGCAGTGAGAGGTGAAAATTAACAGCATATCTTGCCTAGGTCTTATCAGTTGTTGAAAAACCCCTCCGTCCTATCAATAAAAATATCCACACCCACAATATTATTTTTGCTCTACAGTGGACGTTGGCAAGCTTTTCCTGTAAAGGCCCGATGGTAACTACTTCCTTGCTGGCTGGCTTAAAACATCAGGTCTCTGTTGTATATTGGTTTGGGGGATGGGGGGGTGGTTAACCACTTTTTTTAAATGAAAAAATTCTTCTTAGTTCAAGGTCTTTACAAAACAGTCCACAGGCCCGTGATTTGCCAACCTGTGCTCTGAGTGAAGGACGTCTAGGCAGGACTGCCACCGCCTAACCTGATGCCGAGTTCCATTATGAAATCACGGTACCAACACTCTCTGGAGAGGCCCCGGTGTTACCATTCTTGCCAACACTGTGGCCCCCAGCCTCCACGGTGGCCCCCCTGCCCCCGCTGCCTGACACTCACACCCTGTGTGGTCTCCTCCCACACTCTACCCGGGGTGGTCGGCGTGACCAACAGTTTGCAGCAGAAGTGACCAAAGACTGCAGCTTCCATCTTGGGTGCTCCCCCCACCCCTGAGATCACCAGTTTGGGGAAACCAGCTACCATGTTGCGCGGACACTCGGACAGCCTAGGGAGAGGCCCACGGGATAAGGAACCCGTGTCTCCAGCCAACAGCCAGAAAGGCCGGACAACAAAGGCGAGGGCCTGGAAGCAGAGCCGTCCCCGCTGAACCCTGCGGTGACTGCAGCCCCGGCCAACACCTGGACCGTAGCCTGTGAGACACCCTGGGCCGGAGGCACCCAGCCCAGCTGCTCCCGGATGTCTGAGCCACAGAAACTGGGAGACAGTAAATTCCTGTCATTCGAAACGGTTCATCTGGGGAATACCTGCTGCACAGCAATGGACCGTTAGCACGAAGACCATTCCCACTGTCAGGCCTCCCAATGGCACGCACCTCCATAGGATAAATAAACGTCTGCGCAGTGGCTCCGGCCATGGAACCAGAAACGAATCTCTCAAACGTTCCTATTTTCTGTCCTTCCTCGGTAAGCATCTTCTTGTACTGCGTAAATCAATTTTAAAGGCACATGAATATTTGCTCTAGACAGAATTGTGTGTCCCTGCCCACAAAATGCATATGCTGAAGCTGTAACCCCCAGTGGGATGATATTTGGAGGTGGGGCCTTTGGGAAGTAATTAGAGTTAGATGAGGTGGAGAGGGTGGGGCCCTCAGGACAAGATTAGTGTCCTCATAAGAAGAGACACCAGAGAGTTTTCCTTCTCTCTCTCTCTCTCCTTGTCTCTCTCTTTCCCTCTCCACATGCACACACCAAGAAGACAGCCCCCACCGGAAACCAAACTGGTCAGCACCTTGATCGTGGACTCCCCAGCTCCAGAACAGTGAGAAATAAACTTCGTTGTTTAACCACCACCACCACCTCCCCCCCCACTACACGGAATTTCGTTACAGCGGCCCAAGCCGAATGAGGCAATACCAAAATACAAACCAGCTCCTAGAAATCAATTAACTGGCAATGAGACTATGTTTCCCGACACGCGTACACCGCGTTAACAATACTCAGCAGGAAAGCAAGGCTTAAATGCTGATACATCCAGCCTACTGGACCGCGATTTCGAGTTAGGCCTCTGCAGAGCGCAGACGTTGCCCAGCTGGGCCCAGCGGCTCCTCTGCCCCAAGAGAACCGCGCTCCTTCCCGGGCGCAGAGACGCAGGGGTAACAGCGTGTCTGCAATTTCTGAATAGCTGCCCCGCAGCTTTTTTTGAACGAGGGTTTATTTTCACCAGGACAAATAAAACTATTAAGCAAGCGACAAATATTAACGACTTAGGAAAACGGTTTTGGTAGGTGATGCATGGAATTATACTATCGCTAACCACACAGTGATAAGAATTACCTGTTCATATGCCCAGAACTTCACAGCCGTCTCCGGAGCAATTTTAATGACATTTGTACCATTTCCTCTCCAAAGGGAGCGGATGCCTCCTTCTTTCACCATCTGCCGGAAGCCACCATATAGGTTCATTTTGTCGGATTTTGAACCATGGACCTAAAAATAAAAGTAAGATGATATAAAATACCATCTTATTGTTACTGTTTCTAAAGTAACAGTACTAACCACTCTCTTTTCTCCAATACTGCAAGAAGATATATTTGATAAGAGAATATAGGAGGCTGAGAGTATATATTATATATAAATAATTTAGGGAGAAACCTACAATAATGGCTGGAGACTTTTTTAATTAAACACTAGAATAGTCAAAGAACACCAAAGATTAAAAGTTCATCACACACATGTACCAACAATTTAAGATTTGGCAGAACACTGAAATACTTACATGGACTGATTTGAGGGTTAATAGCAATAAAATAGACATTTTTTAAAAAGGTATAAAAGACTATTACGGAGAGTTTTTTAACTTTTTTCAACGCACCGTATTTATCGTGGTTTGAGGATATTTAGCACAAACAGACACAAGGTCACAAGTTCACCTGCATCATGACTTTGAGCCGGTCCAAGGGCGCGGTGCTGGTGCGGGAGACGGCGCCGGCGATGCCTCCCGCCAGAAGCTGCCTCCACCACTGACCCGACTTTTTTTCCTCTTCTGTGAATTCATCGGGAATAGTTAAACTATCTCCTATGTCCATACCCTGTTACGATGAAAAAAGAGACCCCCGGGCCCCATCGATTAAAGGTCGATCATTCCAGCACGTCTGTTTTAGAGATGAAGCGCGTGTTATTTCACAGTTAAGATCAGCTTTGTTCCCTAGAAAGTACCTGAGCCAATCTGAGCACAGAGGTGACTATGAAGAGCTGAAAATTAACAGTATTCACAAACTTACAAAACCAACAATCCCAACTTTCTTAACAGATTCAAAGTAACTCCTCCTCTGAGGCTAAGTCAGAATGAAAGGGCAACATTTCCATTCTTTTTAGCTACAGAAAGAAATTAGCTTATCAGTTCTCCAAAGGCACATCCTTTATCTCAAAATGACATCCGTTATGTTTTGCACCATGATATGTGCTTTAAATATGTAAATAAAAATTAAATAAAAACTATGTATGTCAATACCCCTAAACTTATTTCCTATATAGAGTATCTATCAATATTTTTATAAATCTGACTTGTCATTGAAAACATTCTATACAAAACTTAGCTAACAGGAGGTATTGTTTAAAATTACATGCCCTCCAATCTCTTCTAAACTACTATAGATTACAAAGGTAGCTTGAGAGAAACAAAGTTGTACAATGATAATATTTTTGCAACTTTATCATCTGAATGATTTGGGTGTAAAAGATTTTATAGGTAAGAGTGTCTGGGTAAGGAGCTATGCAACAGCAGTAACCCTCTTTTTCTTCGACTGTGAATACGGTGGATGCTGTTACCAGCTACCTCCAAAGACACGGTAAGAATCTGATATACGAGCAATAAAATCAGCAGAGCGCCACAAGTTCAGGAGCCGCTGGGACTTGGCTGGGCACCCCGGGCTCTAAATGTTCCAGCGTCCCCAGGTGCTGACTACACCAGTGCTTACAGCTCCACAGACGTATACATTGATCCATAAAGCCTACTTACAGTGGAATGTTTCCAGAAACGGATAATTTCCTCAATGTCTGTGACGGGATTAAACAAGAAGTAGTCTCTCCACTCATTCCAGTCTATTGTCATGGTCCCATCAGCATCGATGCTGGAAAGAAAAAGAAAAAAGAAATAAATAAGCTAACAAAGGAACAAAACAGAATTTACAAATAAAACTAACATGACTGGCTGTTTTGCGGAATGACAGTTTCTTTTCCAACTGGATATTCTTATTGAATTTTTAAAAATCCTAATTCACAATAGGTTGTTGGAAATGGCAGCAAGCACTGGGTGGTCTTTCATATAGTTTTAATCATTTAGATAAAACAACGGGCCCTAAAGTTACAGAGAGACCTCGCTGAAGACAATGTTTGGTGCTCTGTCAGACTCTAAGTCAAGGAACTATCAAATGCAACACCTAGAAGATAAAACATTGGAAGGTAAGTAAAGAATGGTTTATGATCCATTTTTCCTTGCACTGGCTCAGGAAGGTGTATCTGCATGTTGTTATAACATTTGGATGTGATTTGGGAATATACTCGACATATCCTCTCCATTTCCTTCTCCAACTTTCTCTAAACTAAGAAAATTAGCAGTGATTATGGAAAAAAAAAATCAAACTTAGTGATTGGGCCTTTTGAGTCAAGAAATCCTGGTATCTCATCTTCAACACTTAAAGTTGATATGTCATAGCCTTAAATATTTTTCATTTAACTCTTTTATTTTATAAAATTCTGGGCAATCATGCCATTTGTACCTGTTTTGTCATAAATTACATAAGCCTGTAATTTCCCTCTTTGTGAATTGTCTGCCTTTGGCATTATGGTTACAATGACCTCATGGAATGGACCGGGTTGTGTACTTTCACACTCTACAAGTATCTATATGTCTGTTTTTTTGATAGTTTGTAAGAACCATCTGGAGCTACATTTTCCTTTATGGGAAAATTTTAATTACTGATGCAGTATCTTTATTTAGGAATGACTGGCTATTTCTTCCTGATTCCGTTTCAGCAAATCATATTTTTCTAGAAGTTCTATTTCCTATGTTCTCATATTTATTGGCATAAAATTATTCATAATATTATCTTTTTTAAATTTCTGAAGCGTCTCTGTGCAATTGGACATCATTTATTTACAAGTCATCTCTCTTTTTTCTTCATCAGTCTCTCCATAAGTTTGTCTTTCCAACAACCAGCATTTGGCTTTGTTGATCCTATTACTATATCTTTGCTTTCTGTTTCCACTGCTGTCTTCATCTCCTTCTTTCTACCTTCTTAGAGATTATTCTGGTTTCTCCCCTTAACTTAGCACATTAATTTTCAGTCTTCATTCTTTTCTGATATGCACAAGCTTTAAGGCTATAAATGTTCCCCTAAGTACCACCATAGCTACATCTCACAAGTTTCAATATGTGGTATTTTCATTTTTTCCAGTCAAAGTACTTCTGAATGTCCCCATATGATTTCCTCTTTGACCCATAAGCTACTGAGAAGTATATATCATTTCAAAAGCCACTGGACTTTTTGTAAATCATCCCTGTTATTGACTTCTAAATTAGTGCAGAGTGATCCAGGAAGGCGGTCTTCATAATACCATTTGTTTTGAAAATGTGTTGAGCCTGGCTTTGTGGTCTACTGTGAAAACCATTTTTATGCATGTTCCATCTGCATCTAAGCAAAAATTTTTTTTCTAATTCTCTAGTACAAGGTTTTATTGTATGACCATTAAATCAAGCTTCTTATTTATTTAAATCCTTTGTGTCTTCACTACATTTTTTCTCTGCTTGACCTATCAAATACAGGAAGGTGTGCATTAAAATCTCTCACCACTACAGTGGACTTGTCAATTTATCCCCAGAATAATCATTAGCCAGCTTAAAATTTTTATGTCTTTGTGGTGAATTTTAAAATGTGATGGTGACACTCTATTTTCATGAATGTGAAAGTGTGTAATTTTTACCTTTTAATCTTATTTGATATCAATTTAGCTATCACAGCTCAGTGAGAGAGAAAAAACAACAGACACAAAAGGTCACATATTATATGATTCTATTTATATGAAGTGTCCAGAATAGACAAGTCCATAGAGACAGAAAGGTAGTCAGTGGTTGCCAGGAGCTTGCAGGGGACAAGTAAGAAATGACCGCTGATGGGTACAGGGCTACTTTTGGGGGTGATGTAAATGTTCCAAAATTAGATAGTGGCAATAGTTGCATGACTGTGTACCTATACTAAAAAATCACTGGATTGTACACTTTAAAAGAGTGAATTTTATGGCATGTGAATTATATGTCCGTAAAGTTGTCATACAATATTTATATAAACAATTATATAGGCACTTCTAAATATCCATCCCTCCTGATGGATCTTACCCCTGATCTACTCTGGAGCTTGGGCTTAGAATTTGCATTACCCTTAAAGCTTTCAAAAGGAATACAGGAACATGATTTCTGGCCTAAAAACAACCACCAAACAAAAACCCCACTTTCCCGGAAGAATGTGACTTTAGAAGCAGGACATTACATGCTCCGTATCCCACTGTCAAAATACTGTTTATCTTTTTCATGTTACAGTTTTTCATTTCCTCAGGAAAGCCTTTCTCATCCAGCATTAACAAGAGCAACACCATGCTCAGCTCTGAGACCTGGGCCTTCTTATTGAGCAGCTGCTTATAAGACAAATTCCAAAAAGACAGAAGGGAGGAAAATGTCACGGGTGCAGACACAAAAGGAGATAAACTCTACAATAAAACCATTTAGAAGAAACTTAATATAATGTTGAAGACCAAAAACATTCGTAAAAATATTAATCTATAACATAACTGCCCTTTTCTTGTTCTCTGATGTCATAAAAAAAAAAAAAATTAGTCCCTATGGTGTATTTCTAACAAAAGGGCTTTCAGGGAACTTAGACTTCAGAGATTATTGTTCTATCCCATGAAACAAAACGTTAAGTCTGCAAAGGTCTGACCTGTGAATGGTGTTTCCTTGTCAGTCAGCTGGAAGAGCGCTGGAATTTCCCTCTTACCCAGTCACGGGTAGGCTCAGTCATGTGACAAATCTGCTAGACTCCTGCTCTCGAGACAATAAGTCTATTGTCACGTTAGACACCAAATGGGAAACAGAACACTAACCCTCTTAGACCTCTCTACACATTTAACACCTCCCTGACATGGCACCGGCCCTTGGGGGCTTGCAAGAAAGGGTCCTGTCTGTCTCTCCCTTATATGTGGAATCTAAATAAACGAAGCTAAACTAAACGGAAACAGGCTCACAGAAACAGAGGCCAAAGGGATGGTCACCAGACGGGAGCGGGTGAAGGGTGGGTGAGAAGGTGACGGGAAACAGAGTAAATGCTACTGGGATGAGTTTGCACGCTGACAGATAAGGGCTGGAATTAGTGGGGTGCTCACACTGTGAGGTATAAAAATGCTGAAGCACTATAATGTATACCCGAAACTAATATAAGATTGTATACCAACTATACTTAAACAAAATAATAGATTGTAAAGAGAAGGAAGAGTCCTGTCCGAGCTTACACTCCCCACTCGTACCCGTTAGAGGTACGTGTGCAAACACAGTGAAAAGGAGGGAAAAGGGGGAGAGAGACTGAATGGGGCAGTGAGCAGCAGCAAGACGCAAGGACGCGTTTGAGCCACACTGACAAACGCAGGACAGGAAAATGAAAGTCAAAAAAACTCCAGCAGTCCTCGAGCAACTAAAGAGCTTACCTTCGAAGAATCAGCTCTGCTTGCTGTTCAGAAATAGTTAGACCCAGTATCTGGAGAGACTGAACAATTTCGGAAGCCTCGATTTTTCCTTTAAAAAAATAAAAAGAGCATAAACAGAGACTCAGAACTGTAAGGACCTTAGAAATCATGAATTTCAAATCCCTCATTTTATCAGGGAAAGCCTTGAACTGATGAAGGTGAAATTATGAATTTAGGGGAGCATTAGAATGCGTAAGTACCAGCTGCAACACCGACTCAAAATTTAACAACTACATTAAACAAGGGCACACACATCATTTCACTCAGAAATTCTCCCGCAGAGAGCAAAGGAACAGCATGAGAGTCTGGGCAATATAAGGACAGTTAGAGGCACCCATCTCTTAGCAATTAAATTCCTTAAATACCACTCTGAATGTCATACTCTTAAATAGATACAGTCGATTCCCGTCACTCACGGTAGTTATGTTATGTTCACAGGTCCCCATGAACCTGAATTAGCGAACCCTGACCCACACTGTTCCTGCAGGAAATACGGGGTTAGGTTCCTATGAGCCTCTGGTCACAACATGTTCATCAACCAATCAATACACACCCTTGTTTTATGTGTGTTTCTGTCTAAAGACACCTTATGTAATATATATTATGCATTCTTTAACATTGAACTCACAGTCAACAGTACTACAACTGTGGCCTGAATGAAGCTTACCCATCGCATGTATTTATTTCCTAGGGCACGTCGCGGCCTTCTTGCATTTAGAAACACTAGACAGCACTGTGCTTGGGAGCCATTTAAAATGGCAAATCATCAACCAAAGGCACAAAAATGCATAAAACATGGCATGAAGTAGACTGAAGAAGGACACCTAAAAGTATCTTGTTTTAAGTATGAAAGCAAAGCATCACCTTTATTCTATCTCAGCTACAAATGTGCACGTCAAGGAACTAAAATGTTTCACTGCTCTGAGCATGTCTACGAGTGACTATGAAAGTGCTATGAGTATTGATTCGGGGGTTAAATTTTAGCAAGCAGGCAAATTCTCAAATACAGAACCCATGAACAATGAGAATAGAGTGCATATGCTTTGCTTTAAGGAAGTCTGACAAACAAAAGTATAAACCTATAATGAGAAATTGTTTTATAATATACAAACAAGATAAATTAAGGAGAAAATGCTTGTATTTTCTACAAACGTATCATAAAATTTCATCGTTTATTTCATCTGGTTCAATTAGAGTTTTCTGACGGACAACCAAAATGTGCACAATTTACGCACTGGAATGACTGGCCTCTACGTATCTGGCAGATGGCCTTTGAGGCGGCACGTCGCCCAGCTACTCTCTGCCCTAGCACACTGCCCAGGCAGTCCGACCTCTGCCGCTGAACGGAGAGGGCCCGGGGGGGG